TAGAAAAAAGCTTTGTCCTCCACTGGGGTTTACCATTTTAACAATATGATAAATGTTATATTAATGATAACAGCCAGTATTTATTGAGCCACTGTATGCAATGCTTTACATACCTTCTCAAAACTTTTTTGACAATCAAACCTTATGAAGTCAGGGCCATTACCCCCGTTTTATGGATGAAGAAACAAACTTAGAGAAATTAATTTGCTAAGTGTCACTGGTAAGAAAGAATTTGAATCCAGGTTTATCTGGGTAAAACTTCATTGCCTTGTATGTATGCTTAATGCCAGTCTAGGTATGGGATTTACTCCATAAAATGTCCTGGAACAGGGATTCAAGTGCAAATGGTTTATTTTGGAGGCAATACCAAGAGCAGTGAAGAGGGATGAGGAAGAGCAAGGTTAAAAGATAGGAAGAAAGTCACAAAGGGTGTGTTGTCCAGCTATTACCCCTGGATTCCAATACTGTAGGGAACTCTGGGATACAGCACACAAGACATCTCAGAGTCATCCCAATTTGAGGAATAGGAACACTCTTCATCATTGACTAAGGGCTGCTTCTAGGGGCATTAACTTTCTGCATTTTTTAATTCCCCTGAGCCTGATCCTTTTGCTCCAGAAAAATGGCTCTCAGGCACGAAGTCATAGGTGTTCACAATAAACAGCCATCAGCAGCTGCTATATGCTGTACAGATGTTTTAATAAAAGTTTTAACATTTTAATCATTATTACATTATCCACAGCTTCTTTTTGAAACTTCTTGAGTCAGGCACAAGTCCACGGGGACTGCAGGGCAACAAGTGACATGTGCTGTATTAAATTTCACACTTAACACAAACCTGGCACACTGTACCAAATGGTTTCTTCCTTATGAGATCATTCCAAGGACTCTATTGATACTTGCTGTCAACAGACCCTTGTCAGACCATCCCACTGGCCTTCCTATTTTGCCTGGCAATAGCTGAATCCTAGCATGACCCCAGTTAAGCTGTCAAACAGATCCTTGGAACAGATGGTGTGTAGTTCTCCTTTAAAAAGAAAAACATTCAGGAAGCAATAAAATCAGGATTTTATAAAGAAAAAGAAGTGGGTTCTTTCTTTCCTAAGTTAAGCTATTTTGATTAAAGTGAAGACTGAAGATACATTTAAAGCTTCAGTGGAAAAATGCAAAGATCATGGCTCAATTCCATTTTCACTATGCTCCTTGCTCCCCTCTCCTTGATGCTATTCAAGCAGAGACCTATCATCTCTATTTAGCCAACAACTTCCAGGATCACCAGGGCTGTGCAACAGAAGGAGCTGGACACTCCAGTGTGGGTGGCCAGTTTTGAATTAGAAGAATCTTAATCTAAAATGCTTGGAGCAGCTCCTGAACACCTCTGATAATATTCCATAAAAATGTGCTTCAGAAATGTACACATTAGCATTTTTCTGAGGGAAAAAAATCACAAAACTTATAAACTTGTATATGATTTCAAAAGGTCCAAAACCTTTGGTTTGGAAATAGCTCCCGAAAGTACCAAATGGTTTAAAAAGAGGCAAGAGAATAGTCAGGTCTTTTGGAGCAGAACTGAGTCAGGCCTCCAACATGTGACATTATCCACAGCCTCTTTTTGAAACTTATATTCTGGCAATAAATTTAGATTTTCATGTACTTGAAACTTGAGTTGTCTTCTCTAAATCAGGACCTGGTCAAACATGAACAGAGACTTTCCCACTTTGGAGATGAGCCCATTGCAAAAGTCATTGGTCCAAAGTGCTGAGTGACCTACCTGATAGACAAGTAGAGTTAAACACCCAAGATAACAGTGATTAATCTTCTAGATCAGGACTAGCCTGGACAATCTGAATTTCAGGTAGCTGTTAGCCCAATGCAAGAAAACAGTCGGAACAATGGTTGGTTCATTTACTTAACAAATGATTTAAACAGTTCTATGATGTGCAAGGTGTTGTGCAAGGCACTGGGGATCCTGCACTGAACAAGGTAAAGTCCTTGCTGTCACAAGATTAAATTATTCTTGGGAAGACAGACTCAAACAAATAGTCATAACTGTAATTGTGGAAATGGTGTTATTCTATTATAGTCTAGGGGCACATGAATTAGTTTGCCAAAGCAAGACAGAGGTAGAAGGAAAAGCTTTCTTGAGGAAGTAATCTGAGGGCAAACTTGGAAGCCTACAGCATTGGTTACCACAGATAACAGAAATGTGTTTTGTACCCTACACTCCCTCGCCAGGCTCCAAACTTAAATACCCAGTAACTGACTCAGTCTTCTGTTGGATGCTTCCAAGGCACTCCCTAATTCAACATGCCCCCAAATGACTTTCTAGTTTGCATTTTCCCATAATAAAATGTTTGGGGAAAATGTTTCTATAAACTTCCCTCCTCAATGAATGCCTACCCTTTGCCTTACTTCCAAATTCTAATACCAAATTCTACCCATTTGAGCTCCTATACCTCTCTCAAATCTGTTCATCTTTCCTCCTCATTCCCACCCAGTTTCCCATTGCTTACAAGGCCTTCATATGGCATCCAGGTCTTCTATAAGTCTGGTCCCGACAGAAAACCAGAAAACATTTACAGAGCTGTGGACAAGGAAATTACCAAGGGGTGTTGAAGTACCCAGACTATCACCCCTTGGACTGAAGAGACTAGGGGGATGTTATATTTTAGGAACCAGGAGAGAGCTGGACTCCAAAAAGCTCCCTTGAGGAGCTATAGTAGCAAAAGTCACTGCATCAGCCAGATGGTTGAGAGGAGGAATACTCCAATCTCTCTCCTCCCTCCCCTATCTTCTGCTAGTTATTCCTATCAACTAAACAAAACCAGAAGCTATATCATCAGCCCTTTTATTTTTTCACTTATTTATTTATTTTAGTTAGAATCTTGCTAAGTTGCTGAGGCTAGCCTCAAACTTGCCACCCTACTGTGTCAGCCTTCCCAGTTGCTGGGATGGCAGGCTTGTGCCTCTGTACCTGACTGGTTCTTTAGATTTTTTTTTTTAAAAGCCATGATATTCAAATCCCTCATGGGCTCAACAACAACAATGATAACATGGCAGCAGACTAGATTTGGTCAGGGCCATAGTGGAGACTCTGACTCTACCATGCAGCCAGCCATGTTTGTGAAAAATCAGTTAGTTCCTGGTGACCCTGCTGAAACCTTTGGACATTCCACTACCTTTTGAATAATAACTCAAAGCCTTGACCTATGAGAACTTCAGAGTCTGACAATACATACATCTCCAACCTCACTCTCTATATTCAGCTACAAGGGCCTCTTCCAGTCCTTCTTATTCAACATCATGCTGTTTCTGTCTATTTAAAATACTGTTCTCTCCCCTCTTCATTGAGTTTACTTTAAGATATCAGCTCATTGATATTTATAATAGCAAATAACCATTCCAAACAGTGAGAAACAATAGAACATTACTCAGTCATTTTATAATTGTAGATTAATGAGAAAACAATGTTGAGATGTTAAGATAAAACACATTATGGTAACATGTATCATATCATATTGTTGTAATACATTTATACATATACATCCAGGTGGGGAAAAGTCTGGAAGGGAATGCACCAAAGCATGGGTAGTTGGGTCATGGGTGATTTTTTTTTCTTTTTTCTTATCTATATTTTCTAGAGCAAATATGTATTAAGAAAAAATCAATGTTTTAAAAAAATAAATTAAGAAAAACATTTAGAGGGCTGGGGATGTGGCTCAAGTGGTATCATGCTTGCCTGGCATGTGTGCGGCCCGGGTTCGATCCTCAGCACCACATACCAACAAAGATGTTGTGTCTGCGGAAAACTAAAAAATTAAAATATTAAAAAAAAAACATCTAGAGAGCTGGGGTTGTAGCTCAGTGGCAGAGCACTTGCCTAGCATGTGTGAGGCACTGGGCTTGTGGCTCAGCAGTAGAGCATGTGTGCGAGGCTCTGGGTTCAATCCTCAGCACCACATATAAAGAAATAAAATAAAGGTATTGTGTCCAACTACAACTAAAAAATAAATATTAAAAAAAAACACGCAGAGGGCTGAGGCTGTAGCTCAGTGGCAGAGTGCTTGCCTAGCAAGTGTGAGGCACTTGTTTCCATTCTTAGCACCACATAGAAATAATTACTTGATTATCAAAACCACCTGGAATCTAAGGTGAATATGTTAAAAATTGTGAGAGAGATGGGGAAGGAAAGGATAGGATTTTTAGAGATAATCAATTGAAAACCAAGTTTATCAAATAGTTTCCTAAAATTCCTCATAATGAGTATGTAATATATTGATACAAATATTTTAGTTCCTGGGCTTTATTATTAATTTTAACATTTTTAAAAATACAGCTCTCTTTCCTATAAAAAAAACAGGGATACACTGAGTTACATAATTTCTCTCCAATTTGATTTAAAACATGAACCCCAAACACAATATCTTACAAACCAATGTCAAGTCTCTATTATAATTTAGTGCAGTTAGTCAACAGTAAGAATACTGTCATACTTTACTAATAGCAATGGCCTCAGCAGAAGAATAGACTATACATGGAAGTAAAACCAAAATCCTAACTAATGAGCACCATTCTGAGATCACTGACCACAGTCAACATTTGAAATTATTAGAATTACGCAAAGATAATGATACCGAGGCTTAATTTTTATTGAATATTAAAAACAAAATCATTTTAAAAGGCACACGAAGTCCGAACTAAAAATAAAGAGCTAAAACCCCAAAGCAGAACCTAATACCTCTGAAACCCACCCTTTCCCCACTCCAGTCCCTTCCTCTGGTGTTGGCTGGTCTTGGTCCCCACCCGCGCTCCTCCCCTGAAAGCCTGTGGAGCAAGACTGCCCAATCAGTTCTGTTAGATGTTTCCTCCGCCCACCTAGGGCCTGGGCTCCACGCCTCTCCGCCCCGCCCCTCCGCCCCGCCCCCTCAGACCCCGCCCCTCGTGCATTCGGTTGGCTTTTCCCACCCACTGCAGTGTGTGACGAGTGGTGGAGCCGGGAGGAGTCTATTGCGCACGCTGGTGCCGGGCAATCGGCGAGAGAAAGGTCGCCGCCCTGTGCTAGAGGCTATGAAGCGCGGCGTTCGGCGGGAGCGTTGCCGGAAGCGGAAGCTCGGGGGGCGGTCCAAAGGGGGCGCGGAGCCCGCGGCGGTTAATTCTTTTTACAGAGTGGCTTCGCATCCCTGGTTCTGGGATTTCCTTAGGCTGCGAGAAATGGTTAGGTCTGGATCCCGACCGAGCCAGGTGAGGGTTGTGGATCCGAGGAGTCCACTGTGTGGGTGGCGGGGACTTGAGGGGACTCTGGCAGGGGGCGTGTAAAACTGCTTGGGGAAAAACAAACAAATCCAAGACGGCGCGGCGGCTCTGAAAATGATGAGGCTGGGTAGTGGGGGACCCTTGGTCCTCCCATCCTAACAGCGATTCTGTCGGTAGATGCAAGTCGCCTCAGCCCTCCAGAGCTCAGGCCGGCTTTGAGGTCGGGCCGGGTTCGAGTCCCAGCTTTCGCCGCTGGTCGAGTGACTTGACTTAATCTCTCCTTGCGTGTGTAAATCGTCGCATCAGATCCAGCTCCTGGGTTTTTCCACTATTGCCATTGTTAGCTCATCTTCCATCACTAATTTTTTTTTTTTTGGTGGTGCTGGGGATTGAACCCAGGTCCATGTGTATGCTAGGCAAGCACTCTACCAACTGAGCTATATCCCCAGCCTTCTTTCACTATTGCTGACATTTTTTTAAAAAAGTTTCCCGGTTAGTGTCTCAAGTATACGTTCCTCGTTGTAATACAGCGGTTCTGCTTAAAATACAACACGGGAGCTCATTTTTTTCAAAGTGGATCCTGTTCTTTGGTGTGAGAACACTGACATGTTTTATACTTTTCAGCCTCCTTTCCCAATCCAGTCAAGTTCAAAACTACATAATCCCAGTGCTCTGGGCCCTCTGCTGCCTTTTCACATTCTGGTCTGTGTAGAATGCCCTTTTAAGACTGACATCACCGCTTTGCATCTTCTGGTCCTCAACTCACGGACCATCTGTAGAACCCTTACCTTACACCCTAGCATCCTCCATTGGTTGGGTACTCTTCAGCCCCCCATTTATATCCTTAATAACTTATCAAACCACTTTTCAGGCTGGCTATAATGGTAGTCTGCCTCTGCTTCTAAACTATTTTTTCTCCATATCTTCAAGGTCAAGAACAGCACTTGGCATATTGTATATTTTCAGGGATTGAATCAATTATTTCTCAGACCCTTTGCTCAGGTTGATCTTCCCTTAACTATATAGAACTTTATTTGGTTTTGTTTTTGGTGTTCCTTCATTTATCAAAACTACTGTCTTCCCCATTAATGTGAATCTTGCACCCTTTCTTCGGGATTTGGCTTGAAACTAGAAGTGTGAATACTTCTAGACCAGCCCACTTTTACAGATTTTTTTTGAATGAACTCAGATATTGAATGAATGAACTCATATATTGAATGAATTCAGAATATGTGCATTTAGTAAGGATGAAAAATATGGTTTTGATATTCACAATAATCACATTCAGATTCCAGTTCTGCCACTATTGTGATGATGGTTAGCAAAGTACTTTTTGCTTCTTTGAGAATCCTATCCTTTTGCTATTAAATAGGTGTAAAATTTTGCTTCAAGGAATTGGGGAGATGAAATAAGAAAATCTGGTAAAATATCTGCCACACAAATGACATATGTATCCAATAAATTTTAATTCCCCAAACACCTAGTTTTTTATCATCCTGATGATAACTAGCATTCATTATGTGGCAGGTACTACTATGAGAGTTTTTTATATATTACATATAATAACTCATTTAATTTTTATACTAGCCTTATGAGGTAAATAATGTTATCATCTCTGTTTTATAAATAAGGAGATTGAGGGATGGAGAATTCAAAAACTTCCCAACTATTTAATTACACAGCTGGTAGACTGTGGAAATAGTATTCAGACTCGCATAGCCAGAGTCCATTCTTTTAAACATTATACTATTCTTAGATGTATGACTTTAGACAAGGTAAATTTCTTAATTTTAGGTTTATACCGAAATAATGGCAGGGAAGTTATTAAGTGGAAAGGCTTTAATATAACCAGTTATTCTACAAAGACAATGCTATCTTGTACTTGGTAGGAAATATGGGGATGATTAAGAAAAGCTTATATTCTCATATAGAAAAATTAAAAGTTTAATGAAAAGTAGTGGAAGTAAGTGTGAAAACAAACTGATTAGCTGCTGTATTATGATTTGGGACACTCCTAAGTGCAGTTTTGCAGTTTGTAGCAAGGGCATTAAACTAATAACTTTTAATAACTTTTTCCAAAGAAATTATGATTTTAATCCTAAATATAAAAAGGCTATTTTCAGTATATAGAAAGGATTGTTCCAGGTTTGATTTTTAAAAAATTTTTATTTTATTTATTTTTATGTGGTGCCAAGGATCGAACCTAGTGCCTCATACATGCTAGGTGAAGGCTCTACTGCTGAGCCACAGCCCCAGTCCTCCCAGGTTTTTTTTTTTAATATTTTTTTTAGTTGTAAATTGACATAATATCTTTTTATGTAATTATTTTTATGTGGTGCTGAGGATTGAATCTAGTTCCTCATACCTGTGAGGCAAGAGCTCTGTCACTGAGCCTCAGCTCCAGCGCTCAGTTTGATTTTTTAAAATATATTTTATTTTTTATTATTGTAGATGGACAGAATGCTTTTATTTTATTTGTTTATTTATTTATTTATTTTTTATGTGGTGCCGAGGATTGAACCCAGTGCCTCACACATGTCAGGAAATCACTCTGCTACTCCAGCCCTCAGGTTTGATTTTTAATTATCAAAGATGTGAAGCAAATCAAGGTCATATTATATTACTTCTACTCAAGGGAACGTTACCATTAACTTTTTTAAAAAAAGCTTATTTTTAGTTACAGATGGACACAATATATTTTATTTTCATGTGGTGCTGAGGATCGAATCCAGTGCCTCTTGCATGCTAGGCAAGCGCTTTACCTCTGAGCCATAACCCAGCCCACCATTAACTTTTTTGACTGTTAATATAGAAAAAGATTCAAAAGCTAAAAAAAATTAAAAATTACAAGTCATCATGACTCAGTGAAAAAATGCATAGGAAAAAGACTGGAGGCCCTGATAGCAAAGAGCACATTTAGTACCTAAATCTTGGTTTCTAAATACTGAACACAAAACAAAGTGTTGGTGAGGATGTTGAGAAATTAGAACATGGATAGCTATTGCTGGGAATATATATGGTACAGCTGCTATAGAAAAGTATGAAGTTTCCTTAAAAGAACTTAAATAGAACTCTTATAAGATCTAGCCAATTCTACTTCGAGGTATTTATCTTAATTGAAATCAGGATCTTAAATAGATATTTACACTGGTATTCATTATTCACAATACCAAGAAGTAGAAACAATCTACATGTTTATCTATAGATGAATTGATAAAGGATCAAAATGTGCCAGATTTAGTAGTGGGAGCCTCTTCAAGTTGGTTCCTTCTTAATTTTAACAAGTCCCCATCATTTTTTGAACTGTTCCTTACCTTTTTACAACCAAGCTCATCTCTTTTTTAGACTGTCTTAAGTATATTCAATATGAGATCTACCTTAACAAAATACAGCATTGGTAACTATAAGCACAATGTTGGTTAGATCTCTGGAGCTTATTCATTTTACAAAACCAAAACTTTATACCTACTGAATAGCAAGTCCTCTTTCCCTCTTGCCCCAACCTCTGCAATCACCATTCTATTCTACTCCTGTATATTTGGCCTACACCCTGACTACTTTAGATACCTCATATGAGTGGAATCATGTAGTACTGATACATTCAGTATTTGTCCTGGGCTAGCTTAGTTCACTTAGCAGAATGTCTTCAGGGTTCATCCTTGTTATTGCATATGGCAGAATTTCCTTCTTTTTCAGCGCTGAAAAAGATTTCACTATATGTGAAATAAAATACAAAGGAGAACTGGAGATGTGGATCAGTGGTTATGTGCCACTGGATTCATTCCCCAGGTACCAAAAGGAAAAACAAAAACAAAAACAAAACCTCACTATTTGGAATTGGACATAATTTTCCTTTGTTATGAATTCATATATGATTTCATGACCAGTGTAATGGCACATCATGTACAACCACAAGAATGGGAAGTTATACTCCATGTGTGTATAATATGTCAAAATACATTCTATTGTCATATAACTAAAAAGATCAAATTAAAAATAAAAATTATAAGAAATCACCATTTGACAATTGAGTGAACCAGAGTCCTCAGTGGATGCTAAATTGGGTGGAAGTTTGATGATTGGATATCTACATAGTGTCTAGATATTTCCCCATAAAATGCTTAATAATTGCAAAGGTAAAAATAGTAACTTTACAGTGAAAAACCTGGCAGACACGTTGTTTTAAAAAATATTTTATAGATGGACACAATACCTTTATTTTATTTGTTTATTTTTTAATGTGGTGCTTAGGATTGAACCCAATGCCTCACATGTGCTAGACAAGTGCACTACCACTGAGCCACAACCCCAGCCCGAGACACTGTTTTAAATAATCAGTTTACATAGCCAGTGGTAGGACAAACTGACATCACATGTCTGCTCATACTGTATTGAAAATGATATGTTTGACTTTGTAGTATTTCTGCCCAAAATGACTTTGTAGTATTCCTGCCCAAAATGCATAACTTAGTTTGATCCTGAGGAAACATCACAGACATCTAAACTTCTAGATGGAAATTCTACAAACTAACTGGCCTCTACTCTGAATATATCAGGGTTATAAAGGACAATGAATGGCTATCCAGGGAACTATTCCACATTAAAGGAGACCTAAGGGCTGTGGCTATGACAGTTTAATGCAAAATATGATTCTGAATTAGCTATGGATCAGGTTTTTTCTGTAGAGGGCAGTATTGGGATAATTGGCAACATGCAAATAAGATCACAGGTTGCAATACTATATCAATGTTAATTTCCTCGTTTTGATAATTAGAGAATGACCTATTCTATATTTAGGCATATATGTGTGTGTGTGTGTGTGTGTGTGTATTATATGCACATAAATATATACTTATATATATTTATTTATATTATTTTGTACCAGGGATTGAACCCAGGGGTGTTTAATCACTGAGTCACATCTACAGCCCTTTGTATATTTTATTTTGAGACAGGGTCTCACTAAGTTGCTTAAGGCCACACTAAATTGCCGAGACTGGCTTTGAACTCATGATCCTCTTGCCTTAGCCTCCTGGACTGCTGGGATTAGAGGCGTGTGTCACCACACCTGGCATATTTAAGCATATTATGTCTGCAGTTACTCTGAAATGGTTCAGACAAGAAATAATGTTGTAGATACATATTGAGAATATGGCAAATGTAGTAAAATGTCAGAATTTGTGGAATCTGATTGAAGCATATATAGGACTTCTTTGTGCTATTTCAAAATAAAAAAATACCTCCATGAATTGGGAGGAAATGTTCAATATGAGAGATACTCTTTTGGAGTGTTTTTCTTAAGGGTAATTTTCTTTACCAGATTTTTCTTTTTAGTCAGTGTTTTTCTTTTTAAGAAATATTTTGTAGATAATCATATAATTATGTCATACATTTATTTCAGACAGTGTATTTTTTCCACTTAATTTTGAAAGGCAGTAAATGTGGTAATTGTTTTCAGAATTGATCTGGGGCATAGCAGCATCATAGGTTGGATTTGTATCATTATTCCAGCCAGGACACCAACACAGATATACCAAAGGGAAAGACCTGAGTATGATCAGGCTATGTTACATGGCATTGTATTTTCTATGATGTTGATTTTTCACTGTGGGGTTTATGACCCTCCATCGTATTCCAAGTTATCTTAAAAGGTATAACTATTATCAACCCATTTTTTAAAAAAAGGTATTCTCATTAGAAGGGGGAGTACATATTTAAGCAAATAATAGAATACAACTTCAGGAAGTTTGGTAGTTACTGCACAGAACTATCTTGGGATGAAATATGTAAACGTGTCAGGACAAATCACAAATGAAATTGCGAGCAGTACCTCTATCTAGAGGATGGAATAAGGGGGAGAGGATTAGGGACTTTAATGTTTTTAAATTATATTTGAAAGATTATATTTATCTGATATGTATTTATTAATGTATGCCATAGAAAGTTCCCCTTTTACTCTATCCCGCAGATACCCTGTTTCTCTCTCTGGAAGTAACTATACTTAACTGTTTTCTTGCATAACTTCGAAGTTATTGGGTACATATAAAAGCAAATGCATGTTTTTCCTTTTGTTCTACATAAAAAGTAGCCTACCTATGTTACTTTTAAAATAAAACCTTTTTGAAGAACCAACATTGCTATATTAGTTTAAAAAGAAAGATTGAAAGAATGAGATGTAGATAAAGAAGAAGGGTAGTTTTTATGTGCTGGTCCTTATTAGACCTTCTAAGTAATGTGGATAAATGAAACCAGAGTTATGAACTCTGTCCTATATCTTGAAGTATTAAGTTTCAAAGAATTTGGGAAATGTAGAACATGTTCAGGGATTATGAGTATAGTTCCAACTTAATTGTATTAGGTTTGAAATGATATCTCAGTTTTCAGCCTAAATAAGCATAAGGAACAAACACATGTGTTGCTTGCTTCACATTTTATGTAGAGCAAATTTATTGTAAAGTGTTAAATTATAATTGTGGATTTTTAGGATATCTCATTTATTTAAAAAAAATGAATGAATACTGCACATATACTATGGAATATTCAGCCTTATAAAGGAAGGAAAATTTTTATGTATGATCCAACATGGATGAAGCTTTAAGACATTATACTGTATAATTTCACTTATATGAGGTCTCTAGAGTAGTCAAATTTATATAAAGTAGAATATGGTGGTTTCAAGGAGTGATGAGAAGAGAGGATGGGAATTTACTGTTTGGTAGGTACAGAGTTTCAGCTTGGGAAAATGGAAAAATATGAATAACATTTCAGATCTTGTTAAGATAGCATATTGAAAATATGATGGAAAAGTATTTGTGTATCTACTATAATATAATACATTATATCATAGGTGTTATCTTCAGGAAGGAACTCTGGATCTGCTAAATTAACAAATGGAAAGAAAGGGTAAGTACAGAAAGAAGTTTATAACTTCAGGAAATCTCAAGAAAGTTTTTAGAACTTTGGGCTGGATTGCATTTTCCCTATTCCAGAAAACTAGATGCACCTCTTCCTTTACATCTTCTGGGGAATAACTTTTCAAATCTACCCAGATTTTAACAGTTTTAACAGTCTTTCCAGTCTTCATAATGTCCTATTCATGTTATACATTGTTAGGCAAGCCTTCTTTACAAAAAAATGGAAAGAAAATGACTACTTACTAACATATTTTGAGGGGGAAAAATTGTATTATTTATAACACTGTTAATCTTGTTTTCTAGGACCCATTTAAGAAAAATATCACGTTTTAATGCAAATTCTGGCTATCCCACTCATTCTGATTCAGAAAGTCAGGTAAGATTAGACCGAACACCTATAATACACACTATTTTACTTAGCCTTCAGGTAAAAGCCTAGAAATGAAAATAGAATACAAAGGTAAAGTATAAATTGCCTTGAGGAAATAGGAAGGCTATTGCTTTAAAACATGTTTTCTACCAATAATAAATTGCTTATAAAGAATTTTATTTAAAGTTGCATAATACATATTTTTTTCTATGCACTATAATTTTATATACAAATGTATTTTAAATGACTTTCTCCTTACAGACTGAAACTATACAGGGGCTTGATGGTTGTGCTTCTTTGCTGCGGGACATTTTGAGAAATGAAGATTCAGGTTTTATTTTTTTTAATGCTTCTTCCCTGATCACCTTTTCTCAATTAAGTAACTTTTATAAATGCTAACAAATTTTATTTTAATTATTCATAGCTTCAGAAACAGCATATTCAGAAAATAGATGTAACTCCAGACCTTTAGAAGGCAAAAAATGTGGATCTAAAAAGAAAGGACATGAGAAACATATTTTTCCTTCAGTAGTCTGGAAGGAAACATGTAAGCATTTTTTTTTCTTATTAAAGATAATCCTTAATTCTGGAGATTTGATAAATTATCAGGAATATGCAGTTTTCTTTCATTTTAATAATATATTTTTATTTAAGTATATGTGTGCGTTTGTGTTTCTCACTATACAGCTTAGTAGTCACTTTGTTTATTGTTACTTTTCTAAGTAGAAAAGTAGGATAAGAATCTATGGATTTGCAGGATAAAGTATTTAAACTCAGAATGACATTTAGGAGGTGTATGTGTAATTATCTTTGTTTCACCTGTCACTTGTTTTCATAGATAATCACAAATTGGTTGCATTTCAGGGATGTACTTATAAATAATAATTGTTTTAAAATTACTTTGTACGTTTATATCCTAAGTTGGTTACAGAACTCAACTTTTTTGAGCTGCATTTAAGGTTCATGGTACATAAGAAAGTAAGCTTCCAAGTTGAACAGAAAAGAAAGCCTTCCAGTGATTGATGGTTAATACAACCAGTGGTATTTTATATCCTTAGGGTTAACTTTGCTGACTTAATTAAGGGTAGCAGTTCAGCAAACAGTTTAGAACAAGCAAATTTTGATTATGTTTCTCAAAAAGATATATAGAACAGTATGGTCCAAAATAATAATTGAATAAAGTATCCACAATAGGATTTGTTCGTTCGTTCGTTCATTTGTTCGTTCATTCGTTCGTTCGTTCCTTCCTTCCTTCC